TAGCACTAATTGTCACGTGTGCGACTCAACACTGAATGGTGATTCCGTGAGAGATCACTGTCACGTAACCGGTAAGTATAGAGGCGCGGCTCACAGCGCGTGTAACCTCAAGCTTAGAATCAACCCTAAGATAATAAACATCCCCGTTGTCTTTCACAACTTGAGAGGGTACGACTCTCATTTGATCATGCAGGCCATCGCGAAAATCGATGGTAATATAACGTGCATCCCCAACAACATGGAGAGATACATCTCCTTCAGCTTAAACGGCCTTAGGTTTATAGATTCAGTACAATTTCTATTGTCTTCATTAGACAGTCTGGTCAAGGCCAACGATACCTTCCCTATCACCGACCGATACACAGACGCCGAGACTAGACCCCTGCTTATGAGGAAGGGTGTGTACCCCTATGAGTACATGGATAGTTGGCCCAAGTTCACCGAGACCAGACTACCTCCCATCAGAGAATTTTACAGCAATCTGACCGACTCGGAAATATCCCAAGACGATTACTCGCACGCGATTAACGTATGGAATAAACTGGGTTGTAAGAACCTGGGGGATTATCACGACCTGTACTTGAGGACAGATGTACTGCTGTTAGCCGACGTGTTTGAGACGTTTAGGCGGACATGTTTCAAGCAGTATAAACTCGACCCCCGCATGGTATTACACCAGCCCAGGTCTGTCGTGGGATGCCTTGCTTAAAAGACCGGAGTTAAGTTGGAATTGCTTACAGATTATGACATGCACCTATTCATTGAGAAAGGCTTGCGAGGCGGGATCTCCATGGCAACCAAACGATACGCGAAAGCAAATAATCAATACGTGAAGGGTTACGACCCTAGCAAGCCAACCAATCACATTCTCTACCTCGACGCCAACAACCTGTACGGCTGGGCTATGAGCCAGTATCTACCCACAGGGGGATTCGAATGGGTGCCACAGGAGGTCGATGTTATGAGCATCGCACCAGATTCAAACAAAGGTTATATCCTCGAGGTTGACTTAGAATACCCCAAGGTATTACACACATCACACAACAGCTACCCCCTGGCCCCCGAACGTATGAGGGTTAACCCAGACTGGATGTCTGAGTACCAACATAACTTGTTAGGTGGGCGGGTGGCAGACGTTGAAAAAACTCGTGCCTAACTTAATGAATAAGACCAAGTACATAGTTCACTATCGCAACCTACAGCTGTACCTGTCGTTGGGTATGAGGCTGACCAAAATACACAGGGTGCTCGTGTTCGACCAGAGCCCATGGATGGAGCCTTACATCAGAATGAACACAGACCTCCGAAAGCTTGCCACCAGTGACTTTGAGAAAAATCTCTACAAGCTCATGAACAACTCGGTGTTCGGTAAGACTATGGAGAACCTGAGGAAACGCGTGACCGTGAAGCTGGTTCGGTCGAATGAGGAAGACAAGCTCAGGAGACTGATAGCCAGTCCGGCATTCAACCGTAGCAAGATATTCACCGATGACCTAGTTGCCCTACACATGAAGAAAAGCCACATAAAATTCAACCGGCCTGTTTACGTGGGGATGAGCATCCTCGATTTATCCAAACACCTGATGTACGACTTTTACTACAACGAGCTTAAGAAACAGTACGACGACAGGTGTGAAGTGCTGTACACTGACACGGATTCCCTGCTGATGGAGATTCAAACCGAGGACGTGTACGAGGACATGAAAAAAACACCTCGATTTGTACGACACCAGCGACTACCCCAAGGACCATGCCATACACAGTGCGGTAAATAAAAAAGTCCTAGGTAAGATGAAGGACGAGTGTGCTGGCACGCCCATAGCCGAGTACATAGGGTTGAGGCCTTAGATGTACTCCATACTGAAAGCCGACAATAGTGAGATCCGGAAGGATAAGGGTGTTAAGAAGTACGTGGTTAAACAACACATCAAACACGCCAGATTCAAGGAAGCCCTGTTGAAGACCCGTACCTTTAGACATAAAATGAACACACTTAGAAGTGATGGCCATAGGATATACGGACTGACTATAAACAAGACGTCCCTGTCGCCTATGGATACTAAACGTTGGATAGCTATTGATGGGATAAACACGTACGCGTACGGGCATGAGAAAATTGAACCAAGAACATAGATATATATATATGTCACGGAACCAGAAAAAGTTTGAGGCTATTTACTATAGCCCGCGTGGGTACTGGAAAGGAGCTAGCGCTGTAGATAAGCTGGCTAAAATGGCGCGAGTACCGCCGGAGGAAGCCAAAGCGTGGCTTGAAAAACAAGCCCTGTGGCAGATCTATTTGCCACCACCACGCTACGTGCCTAGAAGGAAGTTCGGTATTAACATACCTAATAGCGTTCACCAGGCAGACCTACTGTTCCTACCCCACGATAAAAGGTACAAGTATGCCTTAACAGTCGTGGATGTAGCCAGTCGCTACAAGGAAGCCGAACCCTTGACCACGAAAGATTCGGTCCAGGTAGCCAGAGGATTCGAACGTATATACAAACGCAGTCCGCTGACGTGGCCAACAGAGCTGCAAGTTGACCCAGGGCGGGAGTTCATGGGTGCCGTGTCACAACTGCTAGCCAAACACGATACAAAGGTCAGGCGTGGCACGGCCGGAGCCCATCACAGCCAAGCCATAGTTGAGAGATTTAATAGGACTTTGGCTGAGCGCTTATTCGGACATCAGTATGCAAGAGAGATGGCCACCCCGGGGAAGCGATCGACTGAATGGGTCACGAGGTTACCTAAGGTGGTGTCGGCAATCAACCATGAAGTCACCCGTCTCACCGGTAAAAAGCCGGCAGACGCTATCAAACTAAAATCAATAGTTGCACAGTCGGCCGCTCCTTTGCGTGGGAAGGAGAAACAGATACCAGACAGGGTCCTAGTGAGATATTTATACCAGCCGGGGGAACACGAGGGTGATAGTCGTAAGCGAGCCACCGATCCTATATGGTCAGTCAAAACTTACAACATAGATAAAGTGGACATTAAAGCAGACGAGCCTAACTTGTACTACTTGAGGGATGGGCCGGGCAGAGGTTTTGTAAGAGAAGAATTATTGATCGTACCGTACGGCACAGTGTTACCGCATAGTGTCACGTGATCAGGAAAGTGCTAGTTCAGGATAGACCCGTTAAACCGAGATGATTCAGCTATGTCCCCGGTAGCTCAATCGGTTGAGTGGTGCGGCCCATTATGTATAGTTTGCGCGAGAGCTATACATGTGGGTTCGTATCCCGCCGTTGCCTCAGGAGATTCCTTGCAACTTTGTGTGATGTGAGGTGTTTCGGTAAGGAATCAAGATCATATCAGTTGGGTCGCTTAAAGCACTTAGCTGAGAGGGGCACTCTCATGGTGAGAGAAAGGCAGCCGGCACAATTCCCAAGGGGAGGAAGCGCAACATCATCTTTCGATTTCACCCTTGGGGAATTGTGGCTGCCGGGGACATTTTACTACTTTTTAGAACCTTTCTATCTTTCTATGTCATAGCGGCACGTTATACACACTTCAGCCGCGGGAGTTCGTATCCCGCTAGCGTCCCAAACTTTTTTATAGTAGGGGTAATGGTAGCAAGAGCTTAAGGGTCCGACCAAAGCCTTATTTGGGGAATAAGGCTTTGCAGAGGCTTTTGTTGGACTTGGTCCCGTACAATCATTCCCTCTACTACTATGTCACTCCCTGTATGGCAGGATGTCAGTCTCACAATGGACTTGTAAGTATGTCACTCCCTGTATGGCAGGATGTCAGTCTCACAATGGACTTGTAAGTATGTCACTCCCTGTATGGCAGGATGTCAGTCTCACAATGGACTTGTAAGTATGTCACTCCCTGTATGGCTGGATGTCAGTCTCACAATGGACTTGTAAGTATGTCACTCCCTGTATGGCAGGATGTCAGTCTCACAATGGACTTGTAAGTATGTCACTCCCTGTATGGCTGGATGTCAGTCTCACAATGGACTTGTAAGTATGTCACTTCCTGTATGGCTGGATGTCAGTCTTACAATGGACTTGTAAGAATGTCACTCCCTGTATGGCAGGATGTCAGTCTCACAATGGACTTGTAAGTATGTCACTCCCTGTATGGCAGGATGTCAGTCTCACAATGGACTTGTAAGTATGTCACTTCCTGTATGGCTGGATGTCAGTCTCACAATGGACTTGTAAGTATGTCACTTCCTGTATGGCTGGATGTCAGTCTCACAATGGACTTGTAAGAATGTCACTCCCTGTATGGCTGGATGTCAGTCTCACAAAGGAACTGTAAGTATCTCACTCCCATTCAATCTCAAATGTAGTTTCTCCCTGTATCTTACGATGTGAGGCATGGACGTTTACTTTAAGTATGTTACAGCCTATATTGGTATCATATGAGCCTTAAAATGACCCCCGAAGGGAACGATGTGCCACCTCACTCACCATATGGTGGGATGTGAGATACACATTACTCCCCATTATGGAATCAACGCACGTGATGCGGACGTCGGGGTAGGTACGGAAGAACTGGTAAAGATAATTTATATGCCAAGACTAAGACATGGTATTCAGTAAACATTTAATCAGACACATCTGTAATAAACTCGTCGCGGTAAGTTAGAGTGTTCGCGCGAAAAGGGTAATATAAAACGTGACGAAATTATACATTAAAGGTTCTGACGCAATACAAATACAAGGGAGGTCACTCAAACTTGACCTCGTTACCATCCTTATACAGTGGGATGCCAGTATCACACATATATACGGGAATACACTGATGTTTTCATCTGAAAGTACCCTGTTTACCTTATCTTTCATTTGTCTACTTTCAGTTTGTAATTTGTTTGTATTTCGTGTCTTCTTTGTAAAGTAGAGATATTTCAGATATACGCGGGATGTACTGAGATTGCTGGTAACGAGGGCACAGCGGGAAGATGTCAGGCGGAATGCCCCTACTTTTACCCCTTCGTCATCGTTGACTTGGTTTGTGGGACCCTGGCGACATTTCCCATGGTCCCTGTTGTCTTTACCTTAATGAAGTAGGTACTTATCAGGTTTTACACGAAGCGGGTGGTTTCACTTTCATTGTAAAACTGGCAGGTTGACATCTGTAAACAGGATTTTAGTTCGTTCAACTTTACTGTCTCTGGTTTGTCGGCTGCAGTTGTCTTGAGTTGGAATAATATACAAATATATACATAATCTAGTTATATGAAATCAATATCAAAACACTGTGATGAAAATACATTCATTTATGAAATGTATATGTATATGTTTCCGATAATTTTGCGGCTTACCAGGACATTGTACCAAATATATTTATTGACACAAACTGTAATTGTCGGTAGTAGAATATATAATTGACATGAGGTTGTCTTCTAAATCATGTTGGACACCCTTTCCTTAACAAGGAGTATCATCACTCTTTTCATAATGATTCACAAACACATGCTCATGATAAATCGGAATCCTATACAATCGACATTTTCATTCGGTGTCATCGTTGATGACGGATTGATTAATACACTTTCTGTCTCCACATTCTTTTTTATTTTCCAAATCCAACCGAAACGATTTTCATTAAGGGTTTAACGTTTGGAAGAGTCTATCTACAACGCATTTGGACCTTACATCAGTATCGATCTATGCAAATCGGGGCCTGTAACACCTTTATTGAGTAACTCTTTCAATATCAGTTACACAACATGTCAGCATTTTGTTGTTACAGTTGTTTGCTTAAAGGTGTCATAGAGCTAAACAGAAACAAATCCTATAAGTCAGGATTAGTGATATTTAACGTGATGGGATTAATTAGAAGCACCCTGAACATATCCTTCCAGAAGGTACTCTCGTATTTTAACAGTATGTCCATAACACGGGTACTAGCACGTACTGTTTGTGTGTATCCTTACTTGCAATCATTTATGTTATACTATCGATCTGGAAGGCAACGTCATAGAATAACATTAAGCTCAGCATTTTTATTTTCTCCGTTTCTCGTCGCCCTACCGACCCGTTTAATTTTATTTTTTACTTTTTTTCATTCCAGCACCGCCGACTCGAACCAAAAACTTACCGCCTCGTCATATATCTTTTTTAACAGTCACTGCCACAATTCCAAAGAACGCGAGGGATTGTAATAAGAATTACAGTAAATGCGAATCAAGAACATTATTCAGATAGTTTTGTATTTCTAAAAACATTTCCCCCACCGACCGACCCGTGTTTAGAATTTGGTGGCTACGTGAAACACATAAAAAAAGATGATGCCCTAACCAGTTTCATCTGAAATACACTACGGACAAGCCTTGACGTGCAAGGTCATATGCACATCAAAGGTCAACAGGCAATACTTAACGCCCCTTAACTCGTCGTCCGTGTGTCATCAAATTCTGAATGACAAATTCGATGATGTTTGTTTCAATAAATTTATATCTCACTTCGTGCATGCTATATTGACTTATATGTTTGTAAAAACTGACTGATTGCTTTGATTTGCTTCAAAGGACCGTGCAACCAAGTGACAAGTCAGTGGCTGTCGCTTTTTCGTCTTTCCTTAATAGTTTTGTTGGTAGGTATTAATTGACATCCATATATAAGAGTATATAACTAGTCCCGTGTAAAGGACTTGTCCCTGTGTTCGCTCGTATTGGACAGTCACAGCAACCACTTAATGAAAGAGGATAGAGCCTCTTAATAATGTTAAGAATGTTACATATTATTTTAAAAACAGATTCTTACAGAATTGAGAATTTAATGTTTTATGTAGAATATGTATGTTTTGTTGATATTGGTAAAATATATTGAACGTATTCTTCTACCCAGGTTTCCTGCCTTCACCTATCGTGTATGGTATGGTCATTGACACCACGTGTACTCTCTGGGAAACAGCTTGTGGTGAGGTCGGCGCATGCGCACTGTATGATCTCCCTAGCCTTCGGTATCGTGTGAAGTCGATTGACACTGGACTTCAGTTGCTATCATCAGTTGCTTTCTTCGCCGCTTTCATTTTACTGAAATATGGCGTCGTTGAGGAGTTTCATGATCCAGGCGCTAGCAATGTCTAGCTTACTTTTTTGTACTTATTGGATTATGTAGATAACACCTAATCCAAACAAAAGGACCAGGTATATATCTTCTTAAATCACCTTGCCATTTTCACCCTCGTAGCATCTCTGGTAGCCCGTATATCACTTTGGTTCCTCAATAATCTAGGGTTCCTTTATATAATATCTTTTCAGCGTTTAGGGACAATAGCCTTCCTGTATGTTGATGTTATTATTTCAGTGCTCATTAATACTTGAGTAATACCACATACATGTACACTGATAACTGTGGAACACGCACCATGACACTTTCTGTAAGATGAACTTAAGTATGGAGACAAACAATGAGGATGCAATATATAGCCAGAACTACAATAACCATTTTTTGTCCAGTATTTTGTTTTATATTCCGTGCATGTTCTTACCACGACATGAATTATTGAAATCCACGAAATTCCACGAAAAGGGACCCATCAACACAACTGTTCAAGACGTTAGTGAGGCTGTTAATTTTTATGCTTAAAAGGGTGACAGACAGGATGCTTCCTTGAGGGACGCCCTGATCTTGGTGGAAATAATCAGACAGTGTGGAACCTACCCGCACTTGAAATTGTCTGCTGCTCAAAACTGAGATATGAACTGAGGTAATCTGCCCCTCAATCCAAATTCATGTAAATCCTTTAAGATACCATGTTTCCACGTTGTAACGTATGCTTTTTCTTAATCGAAAAAGATGGATACTGTATGTTCTTTGTTGACAATGGAATTTTTTATAAAAGATTCCAGACGCACCAGATGGTCAGTGGTACTTCGGTTCTTTCTGAAACCACATTGGAGGTAACTAAGGAGGTTATTGGTCTCCAAGTACCAGATTAATCTATTGTTGACCATGCGCCCCATGGTTTTACAAACACAGCTAGTTAGTGATATGGACGGTAGTTTGAGGGAAAAGTATGATCCCGGACAGGTTTTGGTATAGGGATGATAATGGCATTGTGCTACGAAGGAGGAAAGTTGCCGGTTGTCCAAATATCATCAAATATATTGAGTAGTGTTTCCAAACTTGAATCGGGGAGGTGTTTGATAAAACGGGTATTAAACAGGGTATTTTCTGTTTAATATCAGCCAAACGAGGTATATGCGGTCGTGGGTTGATGAACAACAGAAAACAAAGCATCTGTGAAAATATTTTTTTGCTAGATTTAAAAATGTAAACAAAGAGAAAATAATATCAAATGTGACTGAAAAAGAGTGTAACAGAGTGAACACACTTTGTTAAACAGTAATTACAATGAACATGTGTGCAATTACATTGCGCTAACGCTAATAACTTCCGCACACAAGGTGTATGCTGAAAGCGCTTACATTACTATCACGGTCAGCGATCAGTTTGCAAATACAACTGAAGCAGCCTGTGTTGGTTAACAATCGTCTCCATCTCATCCAACTGGATACCCAATCACTGCTGGGTGAACAGAGGCATGTTATGAACAAAGGCCTTGCCAAAGGTGAGACCATATGTGTTACATGAACATTCAACATTTACTTCTGTATGATTTTGACACTTTGAAGTTACTTTTTATGGACTACAGTGGTTGTCATAAAGCATATGATCCACATGCACACACAAACATACACACACACACACAGAGACACACGCACATATAATGATTATTGTAAATGCGTGATATATTGTTCACGCAAATCAAATCTGAGATTTGTATAGTGCACAAGGTAATGTTACCATAATGCAACTAGTATGTGTTACTATTTATTACACAAGGAACTAATTTGTATCATTATACATTGCACATGTCGCTTTAGGGTTTCATGACAGTGCAGAGATTAAATTCATTTCAATGAACAAATATCACTAACTACCCAAATGCCAATTTTAAAGCTATACTAGCCACATAAAGAAACTGTGCATTGTCAAAATATTATCCCAGTTGATAAGTACAATGACAATGTCAAAGGTACATATAAACTTTAATGGAGGGATCATGGTCCATAACAAGTCGGGAGAATTTCAATTGAAAAGTCAATCACAATGACGTCACAAGCGGGACAGGGGTCAAACGACCAGGTCACAAGCTCAATAACGGGTATGTCCACCATCGGCATTGAGAACAGCAGTGCATCGACGACGCATAGAGCCTATCAAACGTGCAAGGAAGGCTTGTAGGATGTCACGCCAGATTCTCTCAAGTTCTGTTGCAAGGTCAAGGACGTTATCTGGCGGATGAGGAAGACGGCGTAGACGTCGATCCATCTCGTCCCAAACATGCTCTATCGGGGAGGGATCCGGTGAATTTGCAGGCCAAGGTAGTAAGTCAACGTTGTAGTGTTGCAAGAAATCCATAGCAACTCTTGAAGTATGAGGGCGGGCATTGTCCTCGTTCTCCCACGCGCCTAAAAGAACGTTGACGTCCATCATTATGGGAAATGTTAAACCTGGACTCATCTGTAAAAACAAAATTTCTCCACCAAAACAAGGGTCTGCGGACATGATTTCGGCACCACATTCGGTGAGCTTGTCGATGACGTTGTGTCAGGATAGGCTGTATGGCGGGACGCCGTGGTCTGATCCCGTGATGACGTAAACGTTGTCGAACTGTGTTGGGATGGATACAGCGAAGTCCTGGGATGGTTCGGGCAATCATCACTGCAGTCTGGAACCTGTGGCGAAGATGGGTCACCCTTATCCATCTGTCCTGTCATGGCGTTGTAACACGTGGACGTCCAGAACGTGGCCGATCGAGGACGTCATTTGTGTTCTGGTAGCGTCTCACCAGTGCAGAAATGGTGTTCCGGTGGCAGAGGAAATGTGCAGCCAATTGTCGTTGAGACATTCCCCCACGAACCATCCCAATGGCCTCATGACGTTGTGCAGACGTGAGCCTTGACATGCTATGCGTTTCAATAGCCGTTTAAGGGCAGGGGTTGAGCTTTCCAAAGTGACACTATTGTGTGGCATTCATTTGCTCTGTTTCTCTTTCCCGGAATGCACGTGCAACAACGTATTGCACGTCTCAAGGACGAACCCACTGACGTCACGGAACGTGGCACGTGCATGCATGTTGGATACATGTCACTAATCTCTGAGTTTAAATCCTTATATGTCTACACAGGCTTGATAAATTTAGATTTTAAATGTTTGTATGCACAGTTTCTTTATGTGCCTAGTATATATTCAGGGAAACCAAACAGCATCCCAAAGAGATAGGTGTGATAGGAACACGATTCTGTCAAACAAGCAGCTACAATGATATAGGTTAGAGCGTGAGATAAACCCATATGGGTGAACAAAGATTAGATGAGCGATGCATGATATGTAAGTACAACATATACAAGTTTCTGTGCATTTTCAAATAAATAATTTTCCAAAAATAGATATGAAAAAATAATGACCCAACGTCCTACTATAATAAGATGTATGTGTGAGTGTCCCTCTTGTATTATCATATACAAAGACATCATAAGCTTATGGCCACCAGGGATTCACTGTATGACGATGTTAGCACAATGAATATAACAATAAATTGTTTGAATGAACCCTTTTTCACGGGTTTACAGGTGACTAAGGCCTTAGTTACGTATTTTAAAGGTGCTTCCAGTACTCCTTATTATGCGAACACAGAGTTTAATTCAATTATGCCTGAAGATATGATGGTTGGTCTGACCCTCAATATACACTTGCATTTCACCAGTATAGCAATCTTCTTAACACAATAACAAACTTAACTCTTCTTAAATATGGATCAGGTACAAAACAAAAGATTCAGACGTTACCAGGAATATAGCTCGTCATGAAGTTCAGAATGTAATTCTTGCATACCTTAAAGTGTGTTGCTACGTTATGAAGTGTTTAGAATCTGAGCAACGTTTCATGATGGGCAAGGTGTAAATGGGTCTCGATGCCTGAACACATATTAAATTCTTTAATGATCAATCAATCAACTATGCAAATGTAAACTCACTCATAAGATAAGAAATAACAAAATTATAAGAGAAAATGTAGGGAGGAAAATATGAAGACAACAAATAAAAGTTCATTGTTACTGGTGCGTTAATGGCATCAAATCTGATCTGTAAGTTGAAGCCCGGAGGTTTGTTGGTCCATGAAGGAGAATAGTTGCTTGTTAGACGTTTTCGTAGATGCTTTGCGACTCTATGCCTTCCAAAGCTACGTCATAACAAAGAGCAACGTCAGCCTGTACAATAGAAAAGATTTCAATAGACATTCTTTACTTCGGTAATGATGTCATATAACTTGAAAAATATAATTCTGTTCGCAAAGGGATGTGACTGGATGTTATGATCTATAAGGTTTACTAATAATGCTGATACGATGGGCAATATCACCAGTTTTGATAATGATATATAACCCGTCAGTTAATTGCAGAAGGGAGGAAGAAATCACAGCCATGGATCTCAAATGAAAATCTGACTTACTTGCGATTCATTTACTACAATCCACCTAAAACATGCACATCCGAGGTGAGGATAAAATGACGAGCTCCAAAGAATTTCGACATTAAGACGAGACAATTTCGATATTAAGAAACAATTAATTTTAATGAGCATTCCAAGAAATAATTTAGTTCCTCAATTAAGTAGATGATTTATGCTATTGTAAAAAAGAGTATTCAAAGAGTAGGGGCGATGAATGTGGACATAAAACTGACCAAATGCCTTTATGTTAAAGTCAGCATCATGTACCGATTTAAGTACACATACATGATTATCAAACATATCTTCAAACATATAGTGGAAATATTCCCGTCATTATCCTCAACACTTTGGTCTCGACCGGTTTACTTTCATCTCGTGTAATTTGGTGTGTTGAAACATTCCAAACTAATGCTCCTTAATTCAATTCGGCTTTTTAGTCACTGTTAGCTATAAATGAATTGGAGACACACATAGTTATAGCTTGATTTTAATCAGGAATTAAACATTAATTTTATTTAATCCTAATTAATGCAGGTTTTGCTTAAGTTAAGAAACCTTGACAACATTTTTTTGGAATTCAGACGTCCATATGGTTGTTAAGAAGTCATACCAAAATACACTGACACTTCATGCTAAAGATACCTGTGTGATATCTTGATCCAGGCAGTGGACCATAGCCTTCATGTTGTTGTAGATCTCAACTGTTTTGTCATACTTCAGGCCTTGAACAATATTGCTCAGGATGCACAATATTGCACCTCTCTGTCTGTCAGATTCACTTTAACATAAAAATGTACATATGAATTCATGTAACCAAATACACTGTTTCGAAAATAGTTTTGCATTATTTTTGCCCGGAAAGCTGGTCTGTACAACTTTGTATGATGCTTCTACTGCCAACTGATAACATGGAATATAGCGAGGGATCACGTCCTTTCTTTCACATGTTATATCGACAAAGAGTTAGATTAGGTTTAACAGTAAAGCTGAAATCTCATCAGTCATAAAGATTTTATGTGTACCTGTAGATGACAGCAACTGGTTGGGATTCATCCCCACTCGTATGAAGATCTACTTGTTCCAGCAGTTCCAAGAGCATGGAGGGAATCTTCTGGAAACTGCTTCATTATGTACACATGCACTGGGGATGGCGGACGGTCCTGGTCAATTGTCATTTATAGAGTTATATTATGTTTTAATCAGTAACAAATCCTATAGCATATGATATACTGGATCATTTGTCGACACGGGGAATACCTGACATATTTAAACAACAAATGTTAACTAAGAATGGTTGAAATTGGTTGATGTCTCGCGTATCCATTCACTCTTCATTCATTCCTCATCTTAGGTCACCATACAAAACATTTAATTTATATCTTATAGAATAATAAATCCATTGCAAATGATTTTGTTATATTTGATTAATTGATAAAGCAAATAATCTTGATAGAAAGCTACAGATTGGGCGAGACGTGTGTTGCATACAGTGAACAGTGTCTTAAATGTCATATTTTAGTCTGTGGTTTATGTTGACTTAATGATTAAATAAGAAGTCCGCTTGGTTGTTATTGTTGACGTTAGTATACTCTCCCAAAAAGAAACGCATATAGGAACTTACATAGACATATATTTAAGGTAAACATATAGCAAATGAAGGCTTACGTTAATCTGTATGTGTACGCTCCTGAGCACGATGTCGGGGTTGATTGTGTTCTCTGTTGAACATTTCACACTGACTGGACTCACGTTCAGACTCTCTCCTGGAGAAGGCACATAGCTGGACAGATTCTGAAAGTATAGTCATTGGTTCAAATGTAACACCTCACCGAGTGTGATCGTTTAAATAAAACAGGTGTAAGTGAAAGACAACCCCTCACCTGGTGCGAGTCTGGCAGGACAATGACAGTACCAGACTCCTGTTGTTCTATGAGTTTCCAAAACAGAGACGCCGTGGTGACGGAGGGAGCTTCAGTCAGTAGATAGCCTTTCATGGACAGGTGAGACTGAAGGAGGAACGGTATATATACATCACCGTGACATAACATTTTCAAAATTCGCATACAGATCTATCGTAGGGTAGAACATGGGCTGGAGCATGGGTACAAACACTCTGTATTTGTCCTTTGAGGCGACCAAATGAATTGGGTGATCAAACTTGGTGTTTTGTTTGATCTATTGCACTTTTCAAAGGTCAACTTTCAGGTGAATAAGCCACAGCACCATTGCCATAATCACAACCATCTTTTATAAGAGTGAAACTGTATCATAAATATGAGCTTATGAAGTGCTACACAATAGTAATTATACCAAGCTTATAAACGTTAGGGAAGGGCCAAAGCTCTTGAAAATGTCCATGACAACTTCCTGCCAATGAATAACGATTTGCAGTATGATTTCGACACAACCAGCACTACAGTCAGGGCCATGGTTCTGAGAAAACACACAATAAACTCAAAGAAAGTGATCAAGTAAATAATACCTAGATGTGTTGTTGGTTTGCAAAAATACTTTGTAAACTGCATAATATTCCAGAACCGATTTCATCAGTCGGATTCAGGGTGAACTGGCATATCTCAAGTGCTTTTAAGGTCGTAGCAGCCACAAGTTGTGACATAACTTGATAGACTCATCTATCAATGAATTACGAGCCCAACAGTTCACGATTTCAAAACTACCCAAACCTAAAATGCTTACCTCCACTTCTACAGCTACGATGTCTGAGCGCCCATCAATATACAGACGTCCCTTGAACTTGTCCCCTGAAAATAGTTTTTATTACCGACGTACTAGCTTTTCAAATGTGTCGCAGTGACGACATTTGACACAATCGAAACAGTTCGTTCATATGTATAATGAATTTACAAAGCTACGCTTACTTACCATTTCCTGAAGTCTCTCTCTTGATATTCAGGATCTAAAACGTTTTTTGAAAGGCATTAGTTACAAACATGCAGCGGTGGGGTAGCCGAATGGTTAAAGCGTCTGCTCGTCACGCTGAAGACACGGGTTCGATTCCCTGCATGGGTACAATATGTGCAGCCCATTTTTGGTGTCCCCCTCCGTGATATCGCTTGAATATTGCTAAAAGCGGCGCAAAACTCACTCACTCACTAAAAACATGACATACATCTATGTGGAACAAATATATACATGTCACGGTCCATCAGGGATAATTTACTAGTAGTTTATTATCTGAATATTTTGCATCTACCTGTATTAACTGTGTGGGTTCCATGCATCCCATCTTGAAGGTTCTTTTCTCATTTCGATTCTGACTGAACACCTGCATCCATAGTTGTGTTTCCAAACTCCAGCGCCTCTTGTAGTGTCAGGTATACACACGCATACTGCTCCTGAGGTTACGATGTAACAAACGTTAACATTCGTCGAAAATGCGAAGAAATGTCATATTTGTGTTTCATGGAAACGAAAAGGACAGAAGAGAAAAAATGTTTTGTTCATTACGGCTCATAGTCGGTATACGCATTTTTAAACAGGTAATAACAAAAACAACTGCAGATTGAGAAGACATGTCTCACCTTGGTCTGTATCATGCCCTTTCTTTGATCTCTCATCTTGGAGACACAACCAAACACATCGACCTTATCTTCAGTCAAAGCCTGGTCCAATAGGTAGTCCACAGCGATGTAAGTTCCTGTCCGGCCGATCCCAGCACTGGGGTTAAAATTGTCCTCAATAATATTGCTATCTATGTGACTGTACAATACAATTGCAATTAGCAGCGAGCAAGTTCGATTATAACAGCACATGATAACTATAAACCATGAAGAAGAAAGGATTAAATGTGTGTAATTTGCATTACATCCTACAAGTATGTTGAATAAATAGATGATGTCTTCTCGTAAACACCAAGGGGGATGTAAAGTCTCCTACCTGCAGTGCACAAGTAAAGGGACACTGTGGGTGTTAGCTGCTGTCCTCACCAGCCACAGAAACTCAGCCAAGGACGTCTCCTCAGGAATCCAGTGATCAGGCCATGTTGTGAAGTGGAATTGATGGAAGCGCCGACAAGTGTTTGTCTAAAGGCATATGAAATAATATGAATTTAATAAATATATAACGCGATTGCAACGGAATACCCAGTCTTGACTATCCCCAGAAACAAAATCCGTTTTGTGTAAAGGGGAAAAACGGCTGTGAAAATCATATGAATGGATCACAGAAAATCAGTCATGACACCAGGTGTTCGCGAAGAGGATAAGCATGTCCTGCCCTAATGGTAGCACCCGCCACTCACAAAATGTGCCTATAAACGGAAGTATGTACATAACAGCTTGTCTGCCATGCGACTAGTAAACAAATCAGACAATCAAATTATTGATGAACCGGAAAGTCCAGTTAGCTATTTTTGAATTATGACTGCTGTGAAGACATAGATATATTCCAATGCGTATAAGTAAAGAAAACGTCTGAGAATTACATTTGTGGGGTCAGTTGTAATGTCTCGGACCAAACATATTTATTGTAGTTGACTGAACATACTCAGATATGCTTGCGGCCAGTACTGCTATTTAGAGAGAGACACATTTGTAGTCAAAAGTGAATGACTGTGCTAAACATGATTATGAATACACCCTTGCCTGTCCTGTACTCGAATATGAATATTCATAGATTCGGTGATTGTACATATAAAGTAAGAATATATTGACCTTTTTCTCTGTAACTTGTAATTCTCTCACAACCCAGTGTGCTCTCTCGCTTGAGCTGATTACAGCTATGTTGAAGTCCCCTACAGTCCAATCCTTTTTGTCCGACCAGTACGCAGCACACTTCGTCTACATAAAGGTCCAAATGGTGTTACGTTACCTGGTGTTCTTTCCATAACTCCTAGGTTACACCTGTTCATTACATCTAGTCAGATCTTGGTTATAACACTCAAAATATCAAGTGTGGGATTTATTCATATTTAATGTTATTATCTGACGCATATTTACCATTTGCATAAAGCATATGTTTACTATAAGTTTGACATTAACTTGTTTAATATTGACCTTCCCCATCTCCATGAGATTAGTCAGCATGACGATTCTGGTACAGTTCTTTTCCCAGATCAACCTCCAGAAGTCAGTCAGAGTCTTCTTATTAGGACCTGCACAGTGGATGCATACGGAAATGACAATTTGTAGATATGAGTATCAATATAATATTAATAGTCCATTTTTACTGCTCATTTATCCATGTACATTGCATGCTCAAAGCGCTGACCCAGGGATTAAATGTCGGAATCGTTATCGCACACTCCAAAAATAACCAACGGTACATGATATCCGTTATATCTTGCTATTCTATTTCGTATTTTCAACTGACCTCATACAGATCCGCGGTAGCAAGAAACCATTTAACCGTATCTTCCATTTCAGTTCTTTTAATTTTCATTTACTTATATGTTTGTGCAATACATTGGATAAGACTAGACATTGGAATAGAAAACAATACCTTGTGCTGCTATGTAGACTCTAGGTTCAGAGTAGCCCTGAAACAAGAGCAGATCTTGTAAAGTTTTATGTGTAAACTACCTGCAATACGTTTTATTTAAAAATCAAAAACAAGTTGTAGTTAGACGTTATTAAGATTAGGATTGACTTTCTATGTAGGTGCACTGCAAACTACTGACATCACATAACGTACGTACAGCACCTAACGATGCCCAATGTCATAAAAAGTAAACATTCCTAACAATTCCATCAGTTAATGTTAAATCCTACTAACGTCTATGTAGCTGGCATTTATGTAGTCAGAACCAGGCTTGTCTGGCAGAGTCTGCAACTTGACCCTTGTGTCATCATCTGGAATATAGGAAACATGGCCATGGATAGATACGTCTTGTTTGATAATGAAGAACAAAACGTTTGTACGACGTTACGCTTAACTATGCCTCATATTAACAATAACTTTCAACAAATGAGGACTTTGGACTTTATGGACTCCCATTAGTGGCAGATTTCAACAATCGTTTGAGCAATTATTCCAAATATAGTCAAAACACCTCTTTTGAGCATTTACAAAAGGTTTCTTTGTGCTTTAGTATTAATGTAGATGCCCCAGTCAGTCACCAGCACCACAACCAAACTAACAATATTGATACAGTCCACACTGATACCGTCCACAGTCTGCAATCTTCATTTGCTGATGAAAATGTTGATGCAATCAAAACTTATCCTTAATAACATTAGAATATCATAAGTATAAATATTCAATTGGTGCAATTTATGTTTTTGTATCGCAAGTGTCCGTATTTGATATTGAAAATACTGAATCAGACTTACATGGGTAGTAATTCGTGAATCTGGTTTTCGCCTTGTTCTCCGGTAGCTGGGACTCTTTGTAAGGACGGGTGAAGACAGTAGATAGTTTCTGTCGTGTATCAGTGTTTCAGGATTTATTCATTGGCGAAGTGTGAAGTTGGAAGTAAAATGAAAGTAAACGTCACTTGAACAACCAATGAGTTAACAGATCTCATACATTAACTTCTTTGAGTGGCATTTTAGAAGTTGGGAAGTACAATAGAACAATAGAACAAGCTTTATGGATAACAACTTCTTATTATTTGTAAGTGCGACGTTTCGATACAGATTCTTGTACCCTTTGACAACGGTACAAGAATCTGTCACGTACCGACAATTCACAACACTATGTAAGAAGAAGAAGTGCTAATGTACGCTTTTGGCATTTTTGGCTTCAAAAGTAGATGAAAACGTTTAATATCGATGTCAATGATGAGGTGGAAGAACTTTTGTTACCTGGTAATATTTCTATTTATTCCCCTTACCTAAGATAAATTTGTCGAATTCTGATTGGTAAAAAGCCAAAGTATACGAAACCATGTAGGCGGATTTCCTAGGTTACACGAACCTTACACCCCGTCAAATCTGTCACATGACTAACTACACGGGTTCTACGAATGACCTTGACCTTATATGGAATGTGGCTGCCAAACGGCTGATCGCTTCGAAAATTTAGTGTTGGCGTATACAATTATGTGTATACACAGAGTAATAAAATTGTTGCCATAAATTCTTATTTGTCTGTGTCAATAAATGTATCCAAAAAAAAAAAAAAAAAGTTTCTGCATTTCACTTGTCGTTTAACAAAACCTCGATTTCGATCATTTTTATTATAAACTAAGCCATCCCGAGTTATCTCCCTTTATGACCGTTCAGGAAAAATCATGGCGAAACATTTTGCGTCTCATTCTGCCGATGATTGAATGTTGTTGATTAAAGATAAGCTAAATAAAAAGACCTTAATGGTAATAAATTCGTGTTTAAACATGGTGTGTTGATATGGTGTACGTGGCTGTAAATTCCTGATGCGCACCTCCTGAGGTGTTATGGACAGATTAACATTGTTCATGAATTAAATAATATACTCGTATTACACCTTGTAATGTCAAGTTTATATCTTCATAAGAATAGTCACGTTGTGATGGCGGATCAGTATCTGGTAATATCTCGCCGTCTTATTATGTGGTCCTGTCGGTCACTTTTAATCGGATTAATGCGTACCTCGTTCTGTCATGTTTTTGGTCGTACCTGATACTCTGCCTGAAAGCCCCCGACGGGCACCTGCAGCTCCTGGATCCGCTCCTGTAGCTTATCTACAGACACCAACGTTATTGCAGGAGCAGTTGCTGTGTTGTAGTACGTGTCGTTGTCGTCCTCATCTACAGCCGCTTCGTCCTTCTCGTCCACCACCACGACGGCACCTGCACGCACAGGGTCGAGGTACTCTTCCGAGTCCACAGCATTTGCATACACAGGGTCGAGGTACGCGTCTGAGTCCCCAACGCTGGTAGGCAGAGGGTCGTTTTTATCTGCAACATGGCCACTTACATATACAGGGTTGACGTAATCGTCCGTGTCCACATCATTGGTACACGCAGGGTCGTTCATCATATCTGCCAACAGGGCAGTTGCACACATATTGTCAAGGTGCCTCTTATCTACCACAATCAAGGCTCAAGGAAACAAGTGCACGTTGCACGTGAATATGCAAACACACGATACGCGCGCACGTGTTTGTGTGTGTGTATGTGTGTGTTTGAGTGTGTGTGTGTGTTTGTGTGTGTGTGTGTGTGTGTGTGTGTGTGTGTGTGTGTGTGTGTGTGAGTGAGTGTGTGAATAGCGGCTTACGTCTTTAAAAATGAAAAATGTACAAAGTGAGTGAATGAGTCAATTCGTAATACATACATACAATATATAAAACCCTGTCAACGAAGGACAGTAAAACCATTAAATTATCACAGATTGGGTTAAAACTAGCTAGCATATATCTTTAAAAGAAGAAAATCATTTTTGGACAATACAATGTCAAAATGGGCTATAGATAGCCAACAACTGAAGAAAAATATACAAAGTAATTTTCAAAGAATATTCGACGGTACGACAAAGTGCTAAGCTTAAGTTTGATATATGTGTATATAATAAATCCAAAACAACATGATGACGTTTTCGAAATAATAATGTACAGCTGATTATTATTTCCGGCTTTGTTTACAATGTCACACACACGATAACCTTAACCTTTGTATCAACAATGATGCCACAGACCATTGAATACAACTAAATGATAAATCAACGCGTCCAGTGATGTTTTTTTCCCAAAGCTTGGTTAGATGATAAAAATTAAAAAAACCGCCAACCTCAAAACGAACAAAGATACTTTAAATTGAGAAGAATATTTTTCAACTTTCCTGACCATTACGGAACAAAAAGGATAAACGACATAAATCATCATTTGCATTGCTTGTGGACTTTACTGTATGTCAGTTTATTATTGTGTACGGCATTGCTTGTGGACTTTACTGTATGTCAGTTTATTATTGGGTACGTCATTGCTTTATACGAACCTATCTGCTCTGGGGACATATCTGCATGATCATCTCTTTTGTTTGCTGCTTGACTTCTTCGTCTCCTACAAATAAGAATGGTTTGCTTTAGTAACATGTATTGTGCAAGAAAGAATGTCCGTCATGTTATTGATCAACCACAGATCATCAAAGTATAGGTTTCAAAATAGAGCCCAAATACATATAACTGTACAAGTAAAAATACTTATTCATTTATGCGTTACATTGACATGAACTACCATGCTCCTTGTTGAAATTAGTATGTATAATATTGATCAAACAGTTTACTAAGTGTGAACCGAAATACCTGACAGTCTGTATTGAATATTAAAGTATGAAGATACTGATTTCACTTTAAGTGTGAGCATCTTTTCTGTCATCGTCTACAGAGGGTCATGCGTTCCAATGGCAGGTACTGAGATGGTATCCACGCTGCCTCTCTGGTACAAATGGTTAAACAATCGAGTGATTATGTTTCGTATAATTTACCAACATACTATTCCTTTACCTGACCAAGACAACAACGATAACAACGACGGCTGCTGCAACGATGATGGCAACTACAACACCAGCTGACGTAAAGATTCCTGCATTGGACGTTGGCCCTTCATCTTGCTCTAGAAAAGTGAGTGAGTGAGTTAATATTTAACGTCACATCGGCAATATTTCAGCCATATTATCGTGACGAGAACATAATTGACATTGGCTCTAGAAAAGAAGAGAAAATATTCTGAAATGGTAGCATCTTTCTTCAGTGTAATCTACCACGGGATTACGACAGTTGTTATTGTAAATTTTGTTTATGAAGAATACTATATTGTCAGTAAATCCATATTATGACATGATTTTATGTGAACTTCACAATGAAAAGCAGCGTCTGCAATTGGGAACAGACAGACTAAAAAGTTTAAACTTATCACAAATCTATCGGGCATCGAACACCACTCAAGAATAGACAAATCTGAAAACAAACTGCATGCACATCAAAGCAGTTAGTGAATAAGAAGATATCCATTATGATCTGCATCGTCAGACATGAACAGCTATTTCCCATGGAACGCAATCACGAAGTGATCGTTATGAGAATGATGAGAGACCTTTCATAGAACAAATCGATATTGTCATGAATATGATCAACACATTGCAATGTCGAACGATTTGAATTTCGGTTTACTGAATTGGGACAAACTTTAAACTTAAAACTTGTTCGCACTAAAATAGTCAATTCCCTCAAACACTCAAACTTATTTTATTGACTCACACGGTCGTTTTACAAAAGGACAAAACAGTATCTGAGATGCAAGTGACCACATTAGGTGCTAGGTTGATCAGGGCTTTGTGTTTGCTAACGTGATGGAATATATACCAAGCGATAACTTTTAATTGTCGTACAGTGAGTAAATGAGTTAAAATTTAAAGTCACATCGGCAATATTTCAGCCATATCGTGACTAAAACAGTTCCAGATACATGATAAGTGCAGAGTTGAAGTATATCAACATGTCAACGAAAGACAGTAAAAACACTAGAAGATCACAGTTATGAATATAAAATTAGTATTTAAACCTAAAATATTTATCTATATTTGGCTATAGATTGCCAACAGCTGAAGGTAGATCACCATATTAGGGACCATGGGGACTTACAGTACATTTGCTTCCTGCATGGACCCCTGGCGGTGGGGTAGCCTAGTGGTTAAAGCGTTGGCTCGTCACGCCGAAGACCCGGGTTCGATTCCCCACATGGGCACAATGTGTGAAGCCCATTTTTGGTGTCCCCCGCCGTGATATTGCTGGAATATTGCTAAAAGCGGCGTAAAACTAAACTCAGTCAGTCAGTCCTGCATGGACCCTAGCTGGAAATTGTCGTACAAACTAGAGAACATCAACACTGAAGAACTTACTTTGTGTGCATGTGTGGTTCGTCCATCCATTAACACATCCTGTTATACAAGTTCCATTGACATGGTGACAGTCACTGGTGTCAAGACACTGTCCACATTCTTCCGAACAGTTTTCACCGAATGAACCTAGGCTACACACTGAAACAAATGTTGGTTTGGATTTTAAAAGGTATCGAGCACCCTTCGAGTCACAGGCAGGAAGTCGGTCGATGCTGATTCGTTAGTCATTTATTAGCCTTGTATAAATTCAGCATGAAAACATTTACTTTAGACGTAGGATCCAGAATATCTCTCCTCTAAATTATAACAAATGAAACACAGAAAATGTGCCAAAGATCAGAACCACATCAAACGGGAACGATGGTTACACAGCCTGGTCACCTGGTCCATACATATCCCTCTCACCAGAACTGTACATGTTGGTTCTAATCCATCGGTATCTCGTTTTTATATATAAGTTTTTATATAAGGTTTTAATAAAGTGCATCATATATTATCGTAAGTAACACAATGCCACTCATTCGATAATGTTATTCAGAACGTATACTGTTTGACATGTTTGACCACGACAGAAGTTGTCTCTTACCCTGCGCGCAGTCCTCTCCCTGCCACCCTGACACACAGGTAGATTCACACTGGCCTGTGTCCGGGGGACAGGCGTCTGTACCACCATCACACATCCGGGCACTGCAGTTACCAACACAGCCAGATCCATATTCAACGCCTTTGGTGCATTCTGCAAACAAAAAGATGTCCCTTTGTCATATGATTTTCATACCACCGCATGCATACTATGATACCTTCTTTACTGGAAAAGAGAGTTTCCCTGACGTTCATGATTTGATACTGGACTGGAGAATGCATTAACCCATTGCATAATCATTACCTGTAAAGTACGCATGTCAACATCTACATATTTGAATGTATTTTTTATTTGTAGGATTATGGAGAAAATACTAACTGAGACATTTTCAGCAATGGCCCGAGGGTCACGCAACATCGTGTGCGACAACCCAAAAATGGTGTCTCACCTTGTGTACAGTCAGCTATCTTCCATCCGGGATTGCAGCCGTTTTCACACTTGCCTGTCACGTGATCACATGTCGATGTCCCACGGCATTTTCTAGCAGAGCACTGGTAAGCACAGCCATCTCCGTAGGAACCTGGGCATTCTTTAGTGAGGTTTGAATACATTAGTACCAATCATCAAATGTGTAGGAAGAACTTGCTTATCAAATATATGTTTGCCCATATACAGAAAAAAGTCATATAAGAAAATCAGATTTTTGCAAGGGTTGTGTTCATCAGTTTGTGGTTGAGATACCTGGTGGCGTTTATCAACACGCCGGGACAGGAATACATTTGTTGTAAGTATATACGTTCTTACCCTGTGTACAGTCTGTTCCATTCCATCCAGTCTTACAACCTCCGACACACATCCCTGTCGCATGGTCACAGCTAGAGTTGTCGTTCTTACAGTTCCTATCAGAACATTTTTTACTACAGTTTTGTCCATAACTGAATTGGGTACACTCTGAAAACATAAAGTTTCTTAATATAGTTACACTTGAGCTCTATGATTAATCATCATCATCCTGTATTTAATTAATTTTATTAATTTTATGTGTTAAAACCAAGGACGGATATACGATAATGAATGTTGTACTGTGAAAACCAACCGAAATATCAGCCAAAAAAATAGGAACCTGTGTCACACTCGTCGTGCTGCCAGCCTGGTAGACAGACTCCACTAGGACAGACGCCGTTCACGAAGTTGCAGACATCACCAGCACAGTGGCAGTAGTTGTCACAGACAGAGCCGAAAGTACCAGGAGCGCACACTGTTGAAAAGGTAACATACAGGTTAAGCAAATGCCCAAGTATACTCCTGTGTTTTAGTAGCTCTATTGGGTTCCTTCTTCTACCTTCCCTCTTCCTGTACTTACAAATGCAAAACTATTTAATGAAATATACACAATCGCTTGTCAAGAACACATCATTAAAATATATACATTCGGTACCCGAAAGTAATAGTCGAGTGCAACAGGAGAACTGTACATTACTAATCAAATTTACTCTGAACGAAAGGAAGACTAATTTCGTCTTTAAATATACGTTAGTTCTCATTTTGCCCTTGATGTTAATTCAGCTTTACAACGAAAATGAGAGAATATTTGTGTTTATTATGAATAAGAATTCGCCAATATGGCTTTGTTTGGATTTCACAGGATATTGGAGATATTGATGGTTTCATTTCTGTTTTTAAGCAAAGATTGTCTGATAATCTTTCACAAGATTGGTACTCATCCCTGCATAGTACAACCAAGTGTTCTAATTATATTCTTTTCAAGTCCCTCCTGAATGTTGAAACTTATCTCAGTTTAGGTATTGCCCCATATTTAAGAAATTGTTTAACAAAATTTAGATAGGGTAAATTTAAACTTAGTTCTGAGACCGGTAGATATAACAATGTCCCTTATTATTCAAGATTCTGTCCATTTTGCTACAAAAATAATCTTAATTTAATTGAAAATGAAATACATGTTTTACTTTATTGTAAAGCCTACTTAAATATAAGGAATAAGTTTCTGGGCAAATATTTGAAAAATCCTATTTCACAACACAGTTTTATAAACATAATGACTTCAAAAAACAAATGTTATAAATAATTTGTGCCTATTTTCATATAATGTTTGGAAAATAAGAGATTCTGATGTTTTTATGTAAAACCAGGGATAATCTACAACATTATATAGTCTCTCTAGTTAAACGCATGTAACTTTTTATTATATTTATGAATGTATTTTGGGCCAGTGGCCTATTACTGAATAAAATGTCTGTCTGTCTGTCTGTCAGAATTAGCCAATATTGCCACACAACAGTTATGCTTGTAATAGACGGTGTGGTGAAGTCACGGCTTAAGGCAAGTGACGGGGCGAGTAAGACTACTGTACTGTTGAGGTTAAATTCACAATTCTCAATTGTATGTATTGTGTCATTTCTTTTTGTAAAATATATCCGATTGTTTGAAACACTGGAATTGTTGTAATTGCATCTGCATTTCATCGGGATATTACTCACATGCCATTAATTTCACTGCAAACCTATACAGAAATACGCATATACATATGTGGAGATTATACGACTTTCTTTAAGTAATTTATAACGAATATTCGAGGTTACTCTCAAATTAATACAAGATTTTGATTTGATTGTCAGTGATATCAAACCTTAAAATCCTTCAGATTTAAAACAGCAATTGGACGGACACATGATTGGGAAAACTAACTGTATTACCTCTTTCCCAACGTTTGAGTTAATGGTATGTAGAGTTGCAGGTTAACATAAGCATTTTCAGTATTGGATTGCAATACATTTTCGGCAAATAAGATATGATAATATATACAATGTGGCCGGTGCAATCTGACATACAACTAACACTTAGGCCATACTGTACACTGAACATCCCTCTCAGATGTGAACGTAAAGAATATTTAGGTAAAAATGAAGCTTGCGAATGTACATCGACATATTTTCTGCAAAGGATATTATCAATGTTTCCAGTTCCAGGTCGATAACTTCCTCTAACATTAAACCACCCTTTACAAGCTCGCCTATCATATTCGCTAACATCAGAGGCTATCGGGTTTTTTGAACATTGCAAGTCTCTTGCGGAGGGCTTGGTCACAATTCGATTTTTCGATAGTAAGATTTACATTTAACATCACAGCCCGTCATTGAAACCACAACATGTTTGTCACCTCAATATACAGATGAGAGACATCAACCTTTCCTCCACCAGTCCCACTACAGAAATACAGCACCTCCGCCATGTTTTCACCAAGTTCAACCACTACCCGTCGAAACTAGTCGATAAAATTATCAGCACCACACTCCACCCAACAAGAAAACCGGCCTCCAACAAACCTGAACCAGCACCTATTCGTATCTCCCTCCCCTTCATAGGGAAAACCTCTCACCACATCAGCCGTCTCCTCAAGCGAGAAGCAGGCATCGAAACCTACTTTACCAGCTCTACACCACTAAAAACCCTACTGAAAGCGAATGGCAGGAACACCTCTAAACGACAACATCAACCCAAAGGTGTTGTCTATAAAATCAACTGTGACTGTGGCGAGGCCTATGTAGGCGAAACCTCCCGGCCCATAAATATCCGAATCAAAGAACACTTATCATCTACCACTAAATCTGATAGAAAATCGGCATTATCAGACCACATCATCAACTGCCCCAATCACAACATAATTTGGGACAATGTGGACATATTATCCAAAAACCACCAGGACTTCACCAAAAGGAAACTTGCAGAAGCAGTTCAAATCCGGAGACACAAGCCCTCAATCAACAGAGACCAGGGATATCTCATCCCTTCTGCATACAATGATCTCATAAAAACAACAGATTAGAGCACCTCAGCCATCATTGTTAATTAATCTCATCAGCATGTATATTTTGTTTTTTACATCAACCACCATTGGCTTCCTATTGTCACTACATTATTGCCACCGTGCCTTGTTGTTATTGTTAATCCCCCTCACTCAGTCCTACATGTTGTTATTACTTAATCCCTGTTCATGTATATAAGCCTGGTCTGTGCTGTAATACTTCACTCTTGCTTGACAACGGTATAAGAATCCATACCGAAACGTCGCATCATATATAATAAAGAAGTTGTTATCCATAAATATTCTTACTTTCTTAATCATTAGTCCAGTTGCCATCCATTTCACAGAAGTCCATAATGGACAAGTTGATAACGATAATGTCGGTGATTTTTTAACTACAAAACTGGAATAGGAACACGTCGGGTTCAAAACATCGAGATTAGGAACGGCAAGTTAAGATATTCACGGCTAACGTGTGAAAGATCAAAATCGGATATGAATAAAATGTGGCATCCAACATGATCCCTACCGTCAACCTGCACTTCGCAGAAATCCAAAATGGGTACAGCGTCACCATTGTTTATTGTAGTGGTGTACAGGACCAGATAACGCCCTTTACCAGAACACGTCACGTTCAAAACATCAAGTATGTCTGATCCGTCTCCCTTCCCTGTCACGTTGTAGCACTTGACTCCATCAGTTGGAGAAGCGGCAGTGTCAGCTATGTAGACCTGGATACCATTCCGACGAACCTTATCTGTAAAACGTCCAAATTAATCAAGTGCCCTTATTAGTACATGTACATGCAGGAGAATAGGATCATGCATCTTTAAAAACCTTAAAAAGGTAAATGTACACCTGGGTATATCCTGCGATATGACAGTCTGTCATGAGGTTAAGTGGTGGGCTTCAGTGGGGCTGGGATTAGGGAGGATAGAGGTGGGTTATTCATGGTCACGGCGGTCGTCAGTTATTTCTTAACTGCGTTTTAAAGTCCATTCATTGCTCTCGACGACTTACAACTGCAACGGCGGACTCTCATGAATGGACCATCGCTTGGTCTTGCATGTGTAAACGTATTATACACGCAGCTTTCAACGGTTGCACAATCACTTTAAACTACATATTATTATAAATAACAACTTACATTATAATTTCAAAAGTTAGGTAATCATTACGTGCATGCGTTCACCCTAAAACTGACCTGTTGTAAGCTACATTTACATTAATCCTTGAACATAAGTAGATGTATGTGTAGATGTAGGAGGTCTTGTCAGATACCCAAAGATCATTTGTCAAACACCTCAGAGCTGAGCAAAAACAATATTTTTGGACTTAGGTACACTGAAACAATGCCTTAAAGATGTCGTCTACACCATTTGTGTTCTGACATACACTATGCTGAGAACTGACCATTGGTTCTGTGTACCCTTATGGGGAGATGATGTACACTGGACTAGTAGGATGTAAGCTACTCACAGTCTGTCCGGAAGTATATGGTGACGTCATGTATCGGTGTTGTCTCATTCAGATCCACTCTCCACCACGCAACGTTTATACCGTCATTGTATGCTGAATGAAAGCAGGAGCGATAGTTGTTCGCTATGGTGTTTCCGTCTACAGCGTTACCTGCTGCCATAGAGGTACTGCTGGCCGATGTCGACTTATCGAGTGCTTTGTTATCTGTCATGAAATATCACGCCAGAGATCATGCATAATACCATGTTTCAAAATAGCATTAAAATGTTTAGAGATATTCTATGTCCGGGAAAATAACAGGGCGGATTTAGATTATGATTTACTTTCATATAACATAAAACTGCAGTAGTACAGAATTTAACGGATAACAACGTCTAGTATCCATCGACAGATGTTCATTTACGTTATGGTTAAAGTAAAGTCACATCAACGCACCTATTTACACACAATCACGAATGTCTAGTGAAATACTGGGAGGAAGAGGGGGATTTTAAGGAGAGACTCGTAATCTTTTTGTTTGTATGTTTTTGGTTTAAAACTGTTATTCTTTTAAACTCGTAAACGTCTTTAGAAATCGTTTTACTTGGTTCAGAAAGCAGAGAGTTCCATAACATTGGACTGCAAACTAAGAAGGTTCAATCAGTAGAAGTACAGAAGTAGACAGAGGCTGATGAAGTAGAGCTGCACGGGAGAATAGCAAGTTCTCAAGAATAAAGGGAGATGAAATCCTGAATATATTATGGATAGCTGCCGGGACAGTCATGGGTTGTAATACAGATCTTGAAAATCATTCGAGAGAAGACGGAGATCCAGTGCAAGGTTTTGACAGCAGGAGTGATGTGTTGAGATCTAAGACTTCTTTAGATTCATCTGAATTCTAAGATTTGCATAAAGGGCCTTGCAATAATATAGACTGGAAAATAGACGGAATCAACAATTTGGTATCCAGCCATTAGCGTTGTGAACTTGGTTGATGATATATATTGAATAAAAAGGGACATGTGGACGCCCATGGTCAGTGGTTGATAACGTTGCTTCACATTGTGTAAGGAAATCGTGCACAAAATTGTCCACAAGGTTATGCTACTAGAAGTAAGATTCTATTATTCAGTGATCGCAGGTTTGAATCCTACTTGGCCGATTAAATATGTATGGCTCGCCAGATCTATACCAGTACTTGCTCGACCACATTGTTGGGCTTTCTCACACATAAACCTTATATACCCTGATATAAATGAAGTACTTTTGAAGTGTCCGTTAAAGTGGTGTGGTTACTATCTTCATGAAAGTCGTTATACGTGAGAAGATTAAATCTAATATGAAATGAATCATTGTTTCCACTTAAGTCTCGCTATGGATTCGAGTAGCAGTATAATGCAAGCTTAAAATATTTGAGAACATGAGCACTTGAACTATTTCTGTTTATCGAGTGCCTGTATATATGTATGCCAGCAAGCAGATTCGAATTAGCAACTCAACTCTGATGATTTAGAAGAAATGCACATTCAATGAGATTCAAAGAAAATTGCTTTACTTTTCTGGCATGTTGGTCCTGACCATCCTTTGATGCAAGTCTGAGATCTGCATCCATCTGTAACGTTACACGTGTTAGCCTGACAGTGACAGTTGTATCCACACCGGTAGCCATACGTACCCGGTAGGCAGCTGCCTGTAACATATAGACATTATGTCTGAGCGACAGGGACAACGTATGCCTATGTATATACCTACGGTTACCTGTATGGTATCAGAGACTTAAAGGTTTAAGAGTATTCATTGCATCATACTATACGATGTCCAATGCTCAATGCTGATGTGACATTGGAAGGGGTGTTGTCCTTTCTAATAATCATGTAATGACCAAAGATGATGTGCTTGCTTTATTACAAAGTATAGGGATACTATGCTTGTAACATGACTGGCTTCGTATAATGACAGGCTATATTAATTGTATGTCTACAGGGACAATCTGTATTGATTGTATGCTGGTGCAATGACTAGAGATGGAGTCTTGGAGTTGTGCCTTGGTGAAATCAACTTCCATGTATACTAGCCACATAAAGAAACTGTGCATTGTCAAAATATTATCCCAGTTGATAAGTACGATAACAATGTCAAAGGTACATATTTACTTTAATGGAGGGATCATGAGACCATAACAAGTCGGGAGAATTTCAATTGAAAAGTCAATCACAATGACGTCACGAGTCCACAAGCGGGACAGGGGTCAAACGACCATGTCACAAGCTCAATAACGGTAATGTCCACCATCGGCATTGAGAACAGCAATGCGTCGACGACGCATAGAGCCTACCAAACGTGCAAGGAAGGCTTGTGGGATGTCACGCCAGTTCTTTCAAGTTCTGTTGCAAGGTCAAGGACGTTATCTGGCGGATGAGGAAGTCGGCGTAGACGTCAATCCATCTCGTCCCAAACATGCTCTATCGGGGAGAGATCCGGTGAATTTGCAGGCCAAGGCAGTAAGTCAACGTTTTTGTGTTGCAAGAAATCCATAGCAACCCTTGCCGTATGAGGGCGGGCATTGTCCTGCTGGAATGTTAACCAAGGGCCATGCTTTTGCAGAAAGGGAATTGCTACAGGTCGAAGAATCTGATCCCTGTAGCCCACACCAGTTAAGTTGCCCTGAACAATCACCAAAGGAGTTCTTTGGCGTGCTGGTTATTCCACCCCAAATCATCACGGAACCACCACCAAAGCGATTCGTCTCCAAGACACAGGCCTGTGCATAACGTTCTCCCATGCCTCTATAGGCACGTTTACGTCCATCACTATGGAAAATGTTAAACCTTGACTCATCTGTGAAAACAACATTTCTCCACCAAAACAAGAGTCTGTGGACATGATTTCGGCACCACATTCGGCGAGCTTGTCGATGACGTTGTGTCAGGATAGGCCGTATGGCGGGACGTCGTGGTCTGATCCCGTGATGACGTAAACGTTGTCGAACTGTGTTGGGGTTGATATGGCGAAGTTCTGGGATGGTTCGGGCAGTCACCACTGCAGTCTGAAACCTGTGGCGAAGATGGGTCACCCTTATCCATCTGTCCTGTCTTGGCGTTGTTACAGGTGGACGTCCAGAACGTGGCCGATAGATGACGTCATTTGTGTTCTGGTAGCGTCTCACCAGTGCAGAAATGGTGTTCCGGTGGCTGTGGAAATGTGCAGCCACTTGTCGTTGAGACATTCCCCGACGGACCATCCCAATGGCCTAATGACGTTGTGCAGACGTGAGCCTTGACATGCTATGCGTTTCAATAGCCGTTTAATTTTTTGAACGATCGCAAGGGCAGGGGTTGAGCTTTCCAAAGTGACAGTATTGTGTGGCATTCATTTGCTCTGTTTCTCTTTCCCGGAATGCTCGTGCAGCAACGTATTGCACGTCTCAAGGACGAACCCACTGACGTCACGGAACGTGGAACGTGCATGCATATTGGATACAGGTCAATAATCTTTGAGTTTGAATCCTTATGTGTCTACACAGGACTGATAAATTTAGATTTATATTTTTTGTATGCACAGTTTCTTTATGTGCCTAGTATATATAGCGACGCCTCAGATTCCAACCTAAAATACATATAAAAATTAGTTATATGTTAACTGACCAAAAGCAGATTTATTCTGGTCTATTTTGGCGTATCCGGAAGTTCCCGTTTCAGATAAAGATGCATAGATTCACATGAAGCAATGCATTCCGTGTGCAGCGTATGCCTCTCTAGAGGTCTCTCTTGTACCATTACTGTAAGTCTTCATGGTCCCTACTATGGTGATCAGCCTTCAGTTGCTGGTGATCTATAGCCCGTTTCTATTTTGTACTGTTGTCTATAGTGATATATTTTAATGATAGCGTACTTATTTTAAATTAATAACTGTGATGCTCTAGTATTTCTACTGTCCTTCGATGACAGTTTTTTTCGTTCTAAATGTATTGATTTTAATATTGATATAAATAAAAATGATTTCGTCACGATATGGCTGAAATATCGCCGATGGGACGCTAAATATTAACTCACTCACTCGCTTGGCACATAGACTGACTGACTGAGTTTAGTTTTACGCCGCTTTTAGCAATATTCGGGCAATATCACGGCGGGGGACACCAGAAATGGGCTTAACACATTGTGCCCATGTGGGGAATCGAACCAGGGTATTCGGCGTGACGAGCCAACGCTTTAACCACCAGGCTACCACACCGCCCCTTGGCACATAGCCTTTCTAATAGTTGATTAGTTGGTGCCCGTGCGTTTCTGCATTGTAATCAGTACAAAACACAAATTTCACTTGCAGCAACTCAGCAGCACAAGGCCTATTGAAAAAAAATCTATAATGTGAGTTATAATCTAAACTAACATCGACAGTATTCAGCCATAAGTACAATGAGGAGACATTGATAAAAATACATTTAAACCATATAAAACCTGTTAACAAAGGAAAGCACAATAACTAGACGATTACAGATATTTTCCTGAAAGTGGTATATAGCCATAAAAAGAACATGACTATATGTACAGACCTCGGAACTACACATGATTAAACGAGCAACAGAAGCATTTGAAGATTGGGAGTTACATTTGCGCCCTGCATGGATCCAAGCAGGCTTTACACAAACATTTGAGGTGATAAATATATTCCGTCAAATATAGCCCAAATTAAAAAGAATTAATTATCTCCGACACTTACACATCCTCTTTGCTTAATAACAATTTCACATTATTTCCACTACCTTCACGGATACAGCCGGTGACAGTCTCAGTTACCGGATTTATTCATCCAAGTCTAAAGAGTGACATATGTTAAACAGGGCAGAGTAATTAAAAGATTCAACCACAAGAAACAAAAGCCTATATCAACCGCTTTGAAACATTAGTGTCACCAAACTCCCAAACGACCTGGGTCACTTCACGATTTACCGCCGCATTCAGCTACGTTGATACCTCGGAAGTGTATACTGTGCTGTGTTATTTGTCGTTAAAAGTTGCAATATTGAAATTTGATTGTCTTCTTTGTGCTACTTCTTTAGTAGAAGTAATTAACATTTTGTTTCCCCAAATGTGGCTGTGGTGGCCAAAGTAGTGATCGGTTTGGAAATCAGGTGGTTTTGGAGTCAGGTGTAATCTGCAATCTTCTAGAACCACTTTAGACTCATCCAAAATATATATTTTAAATGATAATGTTAGTATGAAACTACATGTTGTAGTCAATCGCTTACTGCTACTAAATATCTAGTGACTTCATGCACACAGTGTGCTAGTGACCCTTGCACCAGGTCTGCTCTTTCATCTGTATCACATCCTCTTCCTCTCAGCTGATTATTTTGTCATTCCATGGGCGCTCAATAGACTCCCAGGAAGTAGTTTATGGTTATAGTTAGAGTATTACAATTGTAATGTCGACAAGTGCAGCACAATGTGTATTTATAGATTTAAACTACCAGGTATCAGGGTATTTCTAACCACTGGTGGCCCACTGGTGGCCCACTGGTGGTCTATGTGTTATTTAGATCTTATCATGACCCGATATGCTATCGATGCTATTGGGTTGTAAAAGCAGACTGTACCCATAGGGAGATGCTTAATTTGTCAGCGTCATGTCAACAGTGGTTATCCATCATGATGATGAAAGGCATCCACTATATAACCTCAGTTCTTTCTGCCGCATTAAATGCATGCCATAAGGGGGGAAATGTTTAGAATGACTAACAATCACATAGAATGTTGTAACGTCGCACTAAGCGATTAAACTAAATTTCATTTGGGCCTTTAAATTCAAATTGACCATTAAAGAATTAATTGCATTAAGTATATATGGAATGTAATACAGGAACCATCACTTGGTAAACACCATGCACTATTCACCATCCACGATATATTGGCGGAGTTAGTGAGTATGGTTTAACTCCCAGCAATATCACGACATCATTGTACCCATTTGTGGAACAGAACTCGGGTCTTCAGCGTGACGAGCGAACGTTTTAGCCTTAAGGCAACCCCTCCATACCACACATTGGTGAAAGGCCTTTAATAGTGTTGATCTCTACAGGCTATCACAGGAAATGTTTACTACAGGCTATCACGGTACATATTCACTGCAGGCTATCACGGCACATATTTATGTCAGGCTATCACGGCACAGTTTTTCAGCAGGTTATCACAGAACATATTCATTGCAGGCTATCTCGACTCAAACTCACTACACGCTATCAGCAACACATATTCACTGCAGGCTATCACGGGTCATAGTCACTGCAAGCTATCTCTGCACATATCTACTGTGCGCTATCACAGCACATATTTACTACAGGCAATCATAGTACATATTCACCGCATGCTGTCAGGGCACATACTCACTAGAGGCTATCACGGCACATAATTACTACAGGCTATCACGGCACATATTTACTACAGGCTATCACGGCACATAATCACTTCAGGCTATCACGGGACATAATTCACTACAGGCTATCACAGCACATGTTCACTACAGGCTATCATAGCACATGTTCACTAAAGGCTATCATAGCACATGTTCACTACAGGCTATCACGGCACATATTTACTACAGGCTATCACGGCACATATTTACTACAGGCTATCACGGCACATAATTCACTACAGGCTATCACGGCACATATTTACTACAGGCTATCACGGCACATATTTACTACAGGCTATCACGGCACATAATTCACTACAGGCTATCACGGCACATATTTACTACAGGCTATCACGGCACACATTAGCAAATGATATCATTTTAAACGATTTAAATCACGCTTTCATGATATACTTCGCGTAAAAATGAAGTATGCATTAGATTTCATTTGATTCCGTATAGATGAATGAACCTTACCACTCATTATACGTCAGTATGGCCATTCAAACCCTTGTATATGATACAATTTACACAAAAAGGATTTTGGTCTAAGTTACAAAGTGAACCCCTACCTGATGTAATGTGCAGCACATACACAGAGAGCAGGACAGCGAGTCTCACCCACTCCATGGCGGCGACTCTGTGCACCAGGAAGATTGTTTCGTGTCTCGCGATACAAGTAGTATTGAACAACCCTCACTGAATGACTACTGTGGCTAGCATTAATTGCAAATGAAAACTGTTCGTGTTATGCACCTGACCTATCAAAGAACAGGCAGGTTAACATGCAGTTACCTTCCTGCATATACGGTTGTCTTGGTGCACTGTCAAGGGCGGGGGAAATATCCAAGTCCAGGTGGTTTACATACAGGGTGACCCTGGCGCGATCAGAATATCTGAATGACCTTACCGTGAATTGCTGCTTGGGTTTTACAACTAAAATTGCCCCGAAATTAGTCAGTCTATATCCTGGACAAAATACATTGTGGACATTGTGAACGAGTAATCACTAACTTGACATTAGGCAGATTGGTTGCACATTAGACACTTAACTAGCTCTTGCCCAACTGCCACCATTTCTGTAAATATTGTGCATACAACACTTAAAGTCCTTCAACAAGAGCGCTGGCGGTACTTACATGGATTTCTCAAATATATGAATGTTTTGTGTACATAGTGCGTATTTATACTATCATCTATGCATGGACTGATGATAACGTTATGTCAGAGTATTTAGAACATTCACATTTACTCATTCAAACTATATCCACGATATATAAACCCATCGCGACATTAGGTATACCGGTTGTATTATATATACAGCCTTCCATGACCGACTTAACTGGAGCGAAGCATACCGTTTCTCTCTATTGCAGTCGATTAACTCGCTACTACGTTATTTGTCTCCTACCGCTGTTATTTTCAGATTCTGCGGTCTGTAATATATACACAAGGTAAGAGAGCTAGAGGACCACAGCATTCAATATAGATTTATCATTGCCAAAGTTTTAATCGTAGAATTTGTGTTATTTTAGTTCATTGCTAGACTGTCTAAAGTTGCTAACAGCAGAAGGGATGGTGTAGATCCAGCTAGCGTTCATGCTGGCAGCAAATGTCCTGTTTGTTTTGTGTGGATTATTATGTCTTCTGTAGTTAAAATATTCTAAATTTACAAACTGGTTTTATATTCATAATTGTGATAATTTAGTTGTTTTACTGTCCTTTGTTGCCATGGTTTTTACAATTTACATGTATTTATGGCGAAATTAACTTCATTTAGTCACGATATGGCTGGAATATTGCCGGTGTGACTATATAAATCTGAACTCACTCACAAGAGAGCCAGAGACACGCAATTCTGATCATGTGATTGGGTTTTGTTTTTAATTGTGTCAATGAAAGGTCATGATTGCCAGTCTATACGTCCACGAATTGTGTCACCGTGAGCAATCTTAAATAATGTAAGCGGGTCAGATAATGTTGAAACATTTAATATGTCAACTGCTTTCATTCCATATACACACCAACAAATTGTACAAGTTGGTTGTACCAACCACTAAAGGTCTTTTATGAGTGAGTTTGAGTGAGTTTAGTTTTACGCCGCCTTTAGGAATATTCTATCAGTATTACAGCGGGGTACACCAGAAATGGGCTGTCATTTATGTGTAGCCTGAAATGGTTCACATTGTTTGTGGAAGCCTGTGTCAGTGTTACATGTGCATGCATTGTACCGTTGTATAAAACATTGAATGCCTGTTGTTGTTGATGAACGTTCAACTAATGTTACAGTTTGGCATCTTTCCACAAATACCCCACCTCCAATAAACATGACAAGCAGTTAACCCGGATGTCATCACGTACTATCACATGATTGTAATGAAATAGTCGGAAACTTTTCCTGACTTGGTAAATGACAATAACAACCGATACATGACTTTGTTTCATGAGCCGGACACAATATCATGGACTTGACAGTTGATCAGTAAGCACATTAGAATTTAAGTTGAAACATGCATGGATGCTCAGAGAAGACAAATAGGCTTATCGGACAACATGTAACATAAGTTATATTTGGGATTACACTTTCTTAGTTAAGTACAAATTCTAGTACTTTTTTGGGTTGAAGCTTGTAAAGCATGTGGTGACATGCGTTCAGGTCCAGCACCCACATGTACAAAGCCATCTTAGTGCAAAGACTCTATTAAGCCTTAGTTAAGGTATTGAGCTTCTATGATAAAAGCGCAAACACCGAATTTTGAAAGTAAATAAAACTTTTCTGGAAAGAAATACGATCTAGCAAATTTGCCAGATCATTTGAAATTACTTACATTGAATAAATTTTACCAAACACTCTTTGAAATATCTCCTTTCTGTTTTCTGACGGAAATCCCAAACATTAGGAAATAAAAAATGTTGACATGAAAATACAGTTAGAAATACAAAATGAATATTTGGTTTAAGCTTACACTCTTTGCTTTTATATATTATAGAAATTAAAGATGTCTAAAAATGTAAATTTGCAATGCTGGTGCGCTGCAGTGACAATTACAAACTGAAATCTCCTTGAGAATACTTATGGACACTTGAAGCCTAACCCTGAACAAGTGGGACAGTATGGGCGTATGTGTCTACACGGCTGTCAAGGCTTTATCGTCGCTCTCGTTCAGGTCACTATTCTTTAGTTTGTTGGTGGAACTCAAACTTCAGAATCTTCACCCTTCCAAGAGATTACTACTACTACTACAAATTGATAATCCTCAGTGTATAACCGGTCCCTCATGATGACGTTGGGCATCGCTAGGCTAGTAGGAGCATGCCCGATTCTCTTGCTAGGTAAGTACGCATGGAAGTCCATTCATGGAAGTTCCATTCTAATGTTAAAGCATTGATAGAGAACCAAAGTGATAAAAGTTCCACGGGAACGTTTTCCGACACACAAGTTGTAAACAACTACTTGTGAGATCAAATGTAGAGATTAAAATGAAAATATCTTTGGTGGGAAGACACATATATCCGTTACCTAGTTCTTAATGAATGTGTGTAAAGTTGTACGTAAGTTTTTTTAAACAATAATATTGCATCAGTATTACGGCGGAGAACAGCATTTGGGACGTCATTACGATTTAAACACGTGGGAATAATACCTTGTTGTAAGATAAATCGGTTTGCATGTTCAGAGTGAAACACATAAGTCACTGTATACATGTAAACATTCGGATAAAATATCGACGGTCACAACTTGAGTAACAGATCTTCATAACCGCTAGTAGCAGTACGTGCGTGAGTTCAAATCTCACGTCGCACCACCAATATTGTAGCCATATCGCGACGTGAACAAGTTAAATACAGTTAAATGCATGTCGACAAAGGGCAATAAGCAGTATGTTAAATATCACAGATACTAGGTATAAAACAAACAAATTCAACATTAAAAATATTACTTACTCAGAATATTATCTAATAGAAATTACAACTCGGCTATAGACCACTAGCGACCCTTCCAGGGGATCATGGGGCTTCGTTACGTCTGATTCATACATAAACATGATTCCCAGGAGGTTTTACGTCATCACTATGGCCAACAGTGGCTGTATGCAAAGCTAACCAAGGTTAACAAAATAAACTATAATCGAGTATTTAAAATGCCAGTTGATGCTACATGCTTCAGTTAAGATTGGACTCGCGTGCCCTGTCAGGGAGACAATACTTTTATGATGCTTTAACCCCCGATTGGCACCGCCATCAGTAATCTCAGCTGGTGATAACATGAAACTGACTTTAAAACAATTCAAACATTCAAAATTTATCAAATGTTTTTATTTTCTTAAGAAAAAGCTCCAATTAAACGAGGATTGATATTCATAAACAAGATCCTTTACAGAAGATAAATGATGATTGGTACGTTAGTAGCACCCATGTAGTATTATTGTCACGTACATCATAATTATGTAACATGTCAGCGCGGAGATCAATGGCATTGATTAGACCTATTATTGTACTTTCATTATATATATCAAAAGGACAACACGTGTGTAGGCTTTATTTTAAAAACAAAAAAACTAGTAAACAAGTTTTAAGAGCATGATATTTTAAGACCACTTGCTGCATTTTCCAGCCATTTGCTGACAGTCTGTAAATAATCAGGATTGGGCCAGACAGTCCAGTGATCGACATAGAAGTCGTTTCCGGATCTCCATCGGAACTTGGATCGAACGTTGACTTTTTATGCCAAGATCTCTTAAATACTCAGTCCGAATAATCCACCATGAGATATTTACCACGTGAATTATGTACACGCTGTCTCCAAACAGAAAGATATGACACATAAGAGGAAATGATGCTTGACATGAAGTGGTGCTACTTCTGAACACACGCACAGCTTTGACATGTTAGCGAATATACTGTAAACATGTCATGAGGAGCCATACATTATAAACATTCATGTAGTCGTTAAACGTGTTAGGTGCGGTTTTATACAGCAAACATAGAAAACCACAATATACCACCTTCACACTGTTGTATATGATCAGATTATTCATTTTGGTATTCTGGCTTCACACCTAGACACGAACAGATAATTGAAGATTATACAGGTTTGTTCACAATGACATTACAGTAACAAATATCAACGGTAGGAGTATATTTATCAGAGTAAGTTAGAAATGGATAAGTAACATTTCAATGTTGAAGAATGTTTGAATGTATATCTTTACACAGACACACGAATACAAAACGATTTTCTTATTTCACCTCTTGACTTACATAATGGACAAACACGAAGAGCCTTTTCCATAGTGTTAGAGGGTAGAATGAAATACCGAAACCCATCCCAAAACTGAAGCTGGTGCGTCCTGAAATGATGGCTACCATCATGATAGTAATAACGGGAAGGCAATAGCGACAGAAAGAACAGAAGGGATCAAGAAAGTTTGGAGAGCTGATAAAGAGATGCGGAATCGGTCCCATTCGTTTTGGTCACTGTCTGTCACTGGATACGCATGAAGTCAACGTCTGATAGAGTTGTTTAGCCAATCAAACTGAGATATGATGATATGTAACCAAGTCCAGAGGTTTTACAAGCATACCTTTAACACCAGCTGAGTAGTGCATGCTTTTGCGTTGACCAAGGCTGGGACAAGCATATCCTGTCCTGTTTTGAAGTTTTAGTTTGAGAGACTCGAGTATAGAACCTTGTGTTACTCTGTGTATCAATGGGCGCCTGGACATGAGTGTGATGTTGACAGTTAAGAGTCACGGTCGTTCGACCCCTCACTCCTTGATTACTCCCCAGTCTTCAAATAAAAGAACCGTCCACGGACCAGGTGAGAGTAGCGCCATGACTTACACCTACTAACGTTAACGTGGAACGGCAAT